CCAGCTGGGTCTTCGAAGCCCTCTCCGAAGACGTAGAACACTTCTCAGACGGCGCGGGGGCTTCAGAGAAGCCCCGCCGCCTTGTGAGAAGGCCCGCTCCCTCTCGGACGCCTGGTGGTTTTTGGGTCATAGCTCGGCTCTCTCACTGCCGTTCAGGACAATCTCGAAGGCTCTCGGCGAGGCGCAGCCGCTGGAACGCGTCCCGAGGCTGGAAAACCGCAGAGAACCGATGAAACCGTCCGAAAATCTCGCGCCTCGGACCCCAAACTTCTCTCCCCCCCTGGGCTCGCCGCCTATCTCTGCAGCGGCGCCTCCGCAAGAACACATACTCAATAGGAATATGGGAGCGCGCTCCATGCCTTGCGGGGGGGGGACGAGAGGCCAACACAACGAAACAAGCGGAGGAGGAGGGGGAGGGGGATGGGGCCAGGGGGGGATGAGACCCGGCACAAACGATGACATCTAATATCGAACATTTGCAACGACAAATCCTACAACTCATTAGCCTAGAAGCCCAGACTCCGGACGAGGGCGCCGACCTCACTTCTGAGCATGCCTCTCGAACATTGCCGCAGAGATCGCACACGAGGCATTGAGGAACAAACGAAGACATAAGCAAAACCTTTCAGACGTCCGCGCGGAGTTCTTGCATCCGCGCTGGACCCGCCTCCCTTGCGTGCGGAACGCGCCCAGGGTGGCGCCGGAAGCGCCGCCAGTGGGCCCAGCGCCGATCCGAGAACGCCGTTCGGAGCTCCGAACATTTCAGCTTATGCATTTTTGCTGACACGCGAGCGTTTCAGCCTTCAGGCTGCGACCACAGGCGGTCGGGCACCAAGAGGTCGTCCCTGCGCAGCCGCTCAAGCAGCCGCTCGTGCGCCTCCACTGATGCCAGGGTGTTGGCCACGCCCGCGCCGTTGCCGGCCACCGCAGGGACGCCGATCCCCGGGAAAGAGCCGGCCCCTATGTTGGAAGAGGAAGTGAGCGGCAGAAGCATAACTCGACTTTGGAAGCTCCGCGGGGCATTCTCGCATCGGCGCTGGGCCGCCCCCTGGCGGTGTCTCTGGCGCCGCCCCTGGCGCGCTCCGCGCGCCAGGGAGGCGGGCCCAGCGCCGATCCGATAAATCCGCGCGGGCCCCCAAGAGTTTATGCTTATGCTGCTCGTTCTTCTTCGAGATGCACCACAGCCCCTCGAGCGGCGTCTGCGGCGGCGGGTAGCTCTGCCGGCCTGCTCGATAGGCGGGCCCGTACGTCCCCCGGTGCGTGTTCAGGAAGCGCTCGTGCGTCAGCGGGGTCCCGACGAGGTCCACCACGGCGCGGTCCCGCACGTCCGGTATGACCCGCTCCAGGGCCCGCCAGAGCGCGGCGGCCCTCTCCTGCTTCTTGCGACGATACTCCTCCGAACGGCGGTCCATCCCCGCCCACTCCTCGTACGGCTCCGTCGCAGGCAGGTACGCGTGAATCGCCGCATAGCCGGCGGGCGCGGCGGTCTCGTCCACCGCGCTCGGGATCGAGATGAACACGAGGTTGTCCCTCTCGTCCACGGGTGCCCCCAGGTCTGCGCACACGATGTGGTGCACACCGAGCGCGGTCAGGTCGAGGCCCTCCGCACGGATGCCCACGTGCAGGTGCATGAAGCTGGGGCACAGGGGCACCTCCTCGGCGTCCAGGGCGGACCCCCCCAGCCTGCCTCGCCAGCGCTCGGGCACCAGCTTGGCCGCCGCTGTCCAAACGTCGGCATTGCACAGCACCGCCTTGGCAGCGCGGATCGGCCCGCGCCCTCCGGCGAGGACGACCCCGGTGCACCGCCCTGCGCCGTCCACGGTGATCTCCTCCACCCGGGAATTCACCCGCATCTCGCCGCCGCGGCGCTCCACCGCGCGCACCAGCGCCTCCACCAGCGCGCCGGTGCCACCCTTCGGGTAGTCCATGACCTGCGGGGACAGCAAGCGACCGCAACCACATCAAGGATGTCCTGCGCATGCCAACAGTCGTCAGAACACCGACAATTTCATTGGTCCGTGTTGCGGTTGATGTGCCCAGGACGGCCAAATCAACCACAACCACCGCCAGAGTGTTCTTGTCGAGGTCGGTGGGCCGAGGGACCCTCCCGAAAAACCCACTGAGTTGTGGTTGTTGTTCATTGCTGTGCCCGGATGGCCGCCCCTGGCGCGAAGAACTCGCGCATCATGAAGGACACGCCCGCGGCCTGGGTGGCATCCGCGGGCAGCCCCTGCAGCGCAAAGGCGAGGAAGTCGAAGAACCAGTACGTGAGCGAGCCCCTGGGGACCTCCGCCGCCCTCGTGGAGCCTTCCCAAAAGGGAACAGAGCAGATGGGGCCGAAGGATCGCGACGCATCGCCGATGCATCGGTGATGCATGGGCGACGTCGGCGATGCATCGGCGCAGTTGGCGTGGCGAACATCGGGCTCCAGATCCCGCCGCATCGCCGATGCATCCGCGATGCGGCGCCATCTCTCGACCCCACCTATTCGGATCCCATTCAGGAGGCCGAGACCTCAGCACGTTGGAGAAGGGCCCAGAGGGGTCCGTGCCGCTCATCACCATCTTCAGCCCTGCGGCGGGGTTGACTCGGGCCAAATAGGGGCCCACGGTGCGCAGGGCGCCGGCGTCGCCCCGCAGCGCGATGGGCGGCACGGCGGCGATGAGCTCGCTGAGGGGCTCGTTGGCCGCGCGCAGCCTCTGCCAGATGGCCTCCTCTCACGAGCGCGGACACATCTGTATCCGCGCCCTCACGGTCTTGATTCCTTGGCGCGATCCCGCGCATACGCGATCGCACGGCTACGCTCCGCGCGGGGCATCCGCGACCAAAAATCTGTATCCGCGGGGTCGCGGCCCAAGGGCCTGGCCGGCGAGGCCGCGGATACGGTTATGTTTTGCGCCTACGATCCTCCTCGGGGTTGCCGCTCACTCTGCCCAGCTCGCGGCCAAAAGCCTCGGAATCGCCAGACCTGAGGAAACAAAAGGATACCGGTAACGCTGCTCCCCGGACCTCTCCCCAAGCCCGTTCTCACCAAAATTCCGAGGCGAATCCGGCCGTGACGACGCGAGGCAACGCCGAGGGGCGAGTAGCACTGGCGGTACCTTCTCGTCCTCTGCGGACCCCACCCGGAAGAGCTTGTCGCCGGGCAGGTACATCTGCCACGCGTCGTAGGGCAGCCACTCTGGGGACTCCCCGACCGAGTCCAGCACCTGGCGCAGCGGGTTCGCCGAGGGTGCGCTCATGCCCGAGAAGAGCGAGGGGCCGCTGTCGAAGCGGAAGGTGCCCACGCCGGGGACCTTCCTGCGCCACTCGTGGGCGGCCCCCCCCGCGGTGTCGTGCGCCTCGCAGACGACCACGCGGAATCCGTAGGTGGCCAGCATGGCGGCGGCGCTGAGGCCGGCGATGCCGCTGCCGACGACCACGACGTCCGCGGCATCCGCCGCACTCCCCCGGGCAGCACCACAGAAGCGAGGGGCAACGACAGGGGGGACCGGCTCGGGGGGGGGGGGGAACATCGACCCAGAAGCGGCGATACGTCGCCGATGGAGCGACGAGGCCCCCCTGGCAGCGAAGCCGAACGCTCTGGGGCCGAGTCGGACTAATTATCCAGCCCCTCTCGGCGAGGAGTGGGCGATTGGGGGTCGGTGCATCCTCCCACGAGCCCTCCCAATCTATCCTCGTGGCCCAGCTTTCGGGTCGTAGCTCGGATCTCTGGCGCCCGCCCGAGGCGATCGGGACACCCCCGGAACGCTCTCGGCGAGGCGCAGCAGCCGGACAGCGCCCCGAGGCCCCAAAAACTGTGAGAACCTTCTGAAAGCAGCAGGAGCCCCTCGAACCTCAACCCTCGAAACTTCGACCGTCACAGGCGGCCCGGCTGGAAGACGGAGCGACAACGAGAGCAGGGCTCGAGAGAGGGGAGCGGGTGGGGGGCACAGCATCGGCAAGGAGCGAAGGACGAGGGGGGTACACTGGGAGCGGCTGCCAGCCAACCGAAGGAGGGGGAGGAGGAGGAGGAGGAGGAGGAGGAGGAGGATGAGGAGGAGGAGGAAGGAGAAGATGAGGAGGGGAGGGCGGGGATTGGCAAGCTCCGTCGGAAGGTCAGCCGCCCATCCCTCGATCTGGCCATCGCTCGGACGTCCATTCCCTGTATTTTTTTCGGTTCCGTGCGTGGCTTTTTCGCCAAATGATCAAGGATGCTCCTCGATGGTCGCCGCCGAAGGGAAAATGCACACGTCCGAGCGATGCCAAGCGATTTGAATCCCACACAGGCTGCTCGAAGGAGGGGCCCCCCCCCAGCGTTGCCCCTGATCCGGCGGGCGCGCTCGCCGCCACGCGCCGGCGCGGCGGCGCGCGGCGCGGGGGCCGACTGGCGCAGAGCGCGCGGGCCGCAGAGGACGCCCGCGGAGGGCGGGCCGCCGGGGCCGCCGCCGCGCAGCGGCAGCAGCCTCGCGGCCAGGAGGCACGCCTCGAGAGCTCGATAGGGAGCGTTCTCTTGTTCTCGGCGCTTCGACACTGGGCGGAAGAGCGGGGGGGGGGAGGGGGAGGTCTGGCTCCAGTCCTCTGCTTATTAGTGCGACTGTTTGCAGCGGTGCGTCCCGTGGGGGAGGCCCACCTGCTCGAAACAGGAGCCAAGAACAGCCGAGATCTACTCCATGGGAGGGTGCGAAGGCCCGCGCCGATCGGCAAAACAATGAACAAGAAAATGATCACATACAGTAGGAGCTCGACCACAAGAAACCTTCCACAAGAAACCCAACCCTGAGACCCTGGGACGTCCATGGTCTTTTTGGTGTGGGAACGTCACGCTTTCCATCGCAACACCATCGAAACCGAAGAAACCCAGGACACCCTGGCGGCAAGCAAGGTGTTTCTTGGCATGGGCTTCAATTTCACCGACTCGACGGACACGTTGATCTTTGGGGTGAACCAAATCTGCGGGGTTCTGCTGCTCGAATTCATGGGGAACGGGCGATCGACGGGTTATTGGAGGGCGTTTCTCTCGGTGTTCAGGCAAGTGCACTTGCATCGGCAATGCGGCGCGATCCTCCGACCCCATCTACCCCGACCTCATCTGGAAGGCCTAGGGTCCCAGATCTCTGACGCTGCTTTTTGCCATGTCGTCGACACCCCGAAGTCTTGGCCCCTTCCCTGGGACCGGTTCTTCATCTCGAATTGTTTTCAGAGCCCCCAGGCACGGTACGGGCCCCCAGAGGCTATACACAACCGCCGTGTCCTTTACGACGCGAGGGTGGCACGGCGGCGCGTCGTCTGCAGGGTCGGAGGAGGGCGCCGCATCATCGATGCCTCACCGATGCTGTGGCGATGCGCCGGCAATGCCTCGGCGACGTCGGCGATGCATCGGCGCAGTCGGCGTGGTGAAAAACGTGCTCCACGTCTGGCCGCCTCGCCAACGCATCGGCGATGCGGCGCGAACTTCTCCGGCCCCATCCGCTCCGACCCCGTCTTCGAGGCCCAGGTCTGAGCGTTCCTTTAGACGAGACGTGGCGAAAGATTGTAACATCGCGACCCATCGCGAACGGAGCCCTCAACCCGCTCATTCAAGGGGCCCACGGACACACAAATCAATACACAACAAACACATGGTTTCCCCATGGTTTCCCATATTTTCTGGGTTTTTGTCGTCCCGCCCAATTCAAATATTTTCCCATATTTTCCTGGGAGTCGTTGATTAATTGTGTCTGTGTGTCTTTTTTCCCCTCCTGACTCATGCTGCACCACTTCTCGAGGCAGACCGATCTGTGAGGGCCCCAGGGCTCGACACCAGGCGACAAGGCCGAGCGTGCAAAAACCGCGACGCCTGGGGTTGCTATAAGGGTCGGAAGCCGGGCAAAGGGCTGCTAAATCCGTGGCTGCTGAAATCGACCTCCGGGAAGGATTGCAAAAAAACCCTTCGTCCTTCGTTTTTTTGTTTTTTTGCAATCCTTCGTTTTTTTTGTTGCAATCCTTCGTCTTTCTGGGAGGAAGCCCGTTGACTGTTTCGCGTGCCGCGCCTCATTCCGGGAAGCTGTTTTTTTCCTGCCGGGAGGGCCGTTTGGGCAGCCACGGGTTCAGCAGCCCTCGCCCAGCTTCCGAAAGGGGACAGGGAGGTCAGAAGTGGATGCTAAGGTCGGCTGTACCTGGTCAAAGCTAGCTTGCAAGTCGGTTACAGATGCCTTGAGTGGCCTAGGGTGATGAGGGCGATTCGATAGAGCTGCCAAGTGGGCTCCGCCCACTAAGCCTCGATCTGTACGCCCGGAAGCCACTCAGGGCATGTGCAACCCCCTCAGAAGGTAAGTTAGGGCAGATGTTACCCCCACTTGTAACCCCCGCGTCCTCTTAGAACCCCCCCGCGGCGATCCAAACAGGACTTGTCCTGCCCATAGGAGCCCTACGGTCATGTCGGGCGTGTCCCCCTACAGCGGGATTTTCGACGAAAAATGAAAAAGATACCCCAAAAAGACCCGCAAAAAATCAAAAACTACTCCAAAAATAGCCCCCGGACTATTTTTGGACAACTTTTTGATTAGTTCTGGGGTATTTTATATTTGTCGTCGAAAACCCCCCTGTAGGGGGACGGGCCCGACTTATAAGTCCTACGGTCGGCCACTTGAGCACGGCGTGCCGCGACGGAGGCCCCGGCGACACTCTGCGCCCTGCGAGCGGCCAGCGCGTCGCTCCGCGCCGCGGGCGGCTGGAGAGAGCTCGGCACGCGGACGCCCCGGGGACCGCGCGCGCTGCATGGCGCGCCGCTCCGGCGCGCCGTGGGCCAGAGCTGGTGGAGCGACACGCTGCCCAGAAGTTCCCGACCGTACAGGGCAGTTTTGTTTTTAATATATATGTATATATACATATTTATATATATACATACATACATACATACATACATATATACATAAATAAAAACATGGGATTATTAAAACTATAGGATTTTAACTACATGACTAATACACGAGTCGATTTATGCATGAGCTCATCGTTGTTTTTACTACTCGATCCCTGCATTCTTCATACATGATCCGCACGCGGAGCATGTATTAACAACGGCACCGTACGGTGCTCGCTTCTAGGGGCACGGAAAATGGCATAAACATAAACACTCGGGGGTCCGCGCGGATTTCTTGGATCGGCGCTGGGGCCCCCTGGCGGCGCCTCTGGCGCCGCCCCTGGCGCGCTCCGCGCGCCAGGGAGCGGTCGAGCGCCGATCCGGGAAATCCGCGCGGACCTCCGAGCTGTTATGTTTATGCCCTTGTTCGTTCCCCCAGCTTCTCCCAGCACGCCGCGGGCACGACTGCGCGCGCGGGCGCTGCCCGCGCCGCCGAGCGCCGTGCGCCAGCCCGGGACGCCTGGCGGCCGCCCCTCCGCCCGGCGGCGACGGGCGGCCGCGCGGCTGGGGCGGCGGCCATGCCCGTGGCGCCGGGGCCGCGCGGCGGGGGCTGCTCGCCCGGAGCGCGGCCAGAGGCCCCCTCCGGTCGTGAGCACACTCACGACGGAAGGTGTTCGGCAGCTTTGCCGGCTCGTGGGAGCGCCCCAGCGTCGGGGTGCTCGTCAGCAGCTGCGCCTCGCCGAGCCGTCCCGAAGGAACTCCGGAGATCCGAAGACCAGCCTCTTGCAAGTCATGGGAGAGCACAGCGGGGGGGGGGGTGGCCAGGGGCCCTCACCAGGCCCCGGGAACTGCAGAATCAAACACGTCCCAGGGAGTCGGTCGAGACCTCTGCTCCGCCCCGGAGAGGGGCCGCGGCGATCGCCCGAACAGGCATCCCGTTCGATGCCGCCTCCCGGAGGAGGAGGGGGAGGAGGGGGAGGAGGGGGAGGAGGAGGAGGAGGGGGGGGGGAGGAGGAGGAGGAGGGAGGGAGGAGGAGGAGGAGGAGGAGGAGGAGGAGGAGGAGGAGGAGGAGGAGGAGGGAGGGAGGAGGAGGAGGAGGAGGAGGAGGAGGAGGAGGAGGAGGAGGAGGAGGAGGAGGAGGGAGGAGGGGAATGAGAGGAGAAGGAGGGTCGACGTCATGCAAACATCACAAACCGTCGGGGTCTCTGGCCTGCGCACCACGGCACCGCGCCGCGCGCTGGTACCGGGCCACGACCCGCCACCGGGCTGCCGCCAAGGCGCCGCCCCAGGGGCCAGCACCACCAACCGCGCACGGAGGGGCAGGGTGAAGCCTGGAGCCCAAAGGGCTACGGGCCGAGGGCGGCAAGGAGGATCAGGATGGGGATGGTCAGATGAGGCGGAGAGGAGTACTGGGGCGCGAGACTCGAGTTGTGGATGTGGACGTTCTCGTGACGACAAATCCAGAGGCGTGTATACAGGAGCAGATTGTCAAATACATCGGGCGCGCGAAGGTGGCCTCATCGTCACGACCCTATCCTTGTCTTACCGGTTAGTGCCCATGAGTGTTACTAAAGCGTGGACTCAGATTGTTGTAGTTCTTGGGACTTCTACTGGCTTGATGTGAGCGTCACCGAAATTGCGCAGGATTCGTGGTGCCGCTCCTTGGCCAGTCACCAAACCATCCACACAATCCAAGGCCTCCGATAATCCCCCAAACATTTTTGTCAAGACAGGTTC